CTTGCCCTACTATTTGTCTCTCCTCTTCTACTAGGTAAGTGTCACAATAGAGCTCCCTGCTTTGTTTACTTTTACTGTGAAAGCCATACAGGTGTGCCCAGATAATTTTCCCTCCAGAGCTGTAACACTTATAGTGAAGAGCTGGGAAATCAGAGGGTCCTCTGTGGCAGCGGGTACAAGAAAGCTGTGAACTTACAGTGAACTACGGATGGGGTAGAGTACAGAATGTCCTTCCCACACAGTGGCCTTCTAGAAAAGATTACATAAACTATGATAAGTGGATGTGCTTGAAAGCAAGGACATGAAAGGAGAGTCCTAGCATATCCACATCATCAGTGGGGAAGGCAAAGGCCTAAGAGGAGTATTCTTGGCTTCTTCGCATAACCAGTGATGATAAGACATATCACTCGATGTCTTTCATCACTGCTCTTGTGTTTGTCTAAGGTAGCTGTAAATGTCACCTCATGTTTGCTTGCTGTAATAATAAAAACAAGAAGTGTTTTGTTTATGTAGGGATGAAGTTGTGCAAGGTGAATTCTGAGTGCTTGAGAGAAAACTCAAAAAAAAAAAAAACAAAACAAAAAAAAACAAAAAAACAAAAAAACAAGAGCCTTGTGATCTTCAAAACCGTGGAGTTGTCCTTGAAATGGCCTGTCATGCCCCTCCCACATGTAGCAGATCAGAGAGAAGTTACTTTAGATAATGTGCTACAGCTGGCTATTGTTATTTGTTTACCTCTCTAGGGAAAAACATGCTTTTGCCACATGCAGCTTGTCCTTGTGATTGTGCACAGCTTGAACTCATGAGAACTTTCATGACCCTTAGAGTATAAATTGCCTGCATGAGAGTTTAGTCTGCCTTGTTCTTAGGCTCTATTCTCCTGGACTCCACCACTTTGAGATGCTAAACAGTTTTCACTGCTCTTGTGCTCAAAGTCTGTAGTCTCCCTGGTACTCCATGCAGATCTTTGGAATATCCTCTAATCCTCAGAGATTTAGCCTTGCTGGCCAGGGGCCTGGTCAACAGTCCACATTGATAGGAATCTGTAAGAAGGAGGTCATTACCAGGCAGTGGTGGCTCAGGCCTTTAATCCCAACATTCCGGAGGCAGAGGCTAGGCGAATCTCTGTGAGTTCGAGGCCAGCCTGGTCTACAGACAGAGCTAGTTTCAGGACAGGCTCCAAAGCTACAGAGATACCCTGTCTAGAAAGAAAGGAAAAAAAAAAAAAAAAAAAACAGTAATGAACACAGTAATCACCAAGCATATACTACACTAAAAGTGCCTTTAAAAACAAGAAAGCAAAGGTACAGTCACTAATAGGTATTTAATGGAGCTTATTTTTTCATCTCAGAAGTTGTCTTTGTTTGTTTGAAGAAAAAGTTTAAATTATTTAATGGTTCATGAGTATAAATAGCCTTGCCTATGAGAGGCTCCTGAGGCAACAATGTTCCTGAAGGATCCCACATAAGCCCTGAAAGAGATATCAGCCGTGGAAACAGACGGCAGCATAGCTCCATGTGGTTGGATTACAGCCTAGGTTTGCTTATCTCTTATGGACCTCAACTCAGGTAAAACTGGGCCCTCCACTTTGATGAAGAAAAGAATTTCAAGGCTAGCCAGTATGTTTGTTTGCTTTTTGCTTTTAAAATTCAATATATGCTGAGCTCTCACTGTGTAGTCTGGTTGGTCTGGACCTAGCTATATAGACCAGGCTAGGAGTTAACTCAGAGTGATCCACGTGCTTTGCCTCTCAAGTGTGCACCACCATAACCCCATCATTAAAAATTTTTATATAAACTAAGCATGCGGGTTAAGAAAAGAGAGGTACTCAGAAACTAAGATGTACCATAGGCAATAACTGTAGGCTTCTGAAAGAAGAGTCACTCAGGGATAACATTTTAAAACAGGATTTTGGTCATTTAAGTATTCCATGTTAAGTGTGAGAGAATTAAAGAGATGGTGAGTCGTAGTAGAACTGCAAAGTTATTAACTCCCAGGGAGTACACTGATTATGTAGAAAAAGGGATTGAGGTAGTTTTATTTGTATTGTGACAATGAGTTGAGATGAAATAGACTGATTGGATATGGTGTCACATGTCTGCCTATAATCTCAGCAGTTAGGAGGTAGAGTTCTGATACCTAGTGAGTTTGAGGCGGGCGAACTTGAACTACATGAGCCCCCATCAAAAAAAAAAAGAGAATGAGTTCTCTGGGTTAGATAAGATATATTATTATAGTACCAGTTTTCCTGCTCTCATTCAGGCTCTAAGCTTGGTGTAAGAAGAGAAAGGATAATTAGAATTTTTAATTTTAATATTTATTAATTTATTTGATGTATATATTCATTAATTTTGAGTAAGGGTCTTTTGCCAAGTCTGCCTTAAACTTACTCTGCAGTCAAGGTGATGCAGGAGGTCCTTCTGACATTCTGAATGCTGTGAATACATGTTTCTCTTATTGGCTGAGGAACAAATCTGTTTTGACCAATGGACAGGCAGGATGTAGCCAGTTAGGAAGTATAGGTGGGGTTATCAAACTAGGCAAATTCTGGAAGAGGAATGTAGAGAATGAGTCTCGAGGAGACACCATGTAGCTACCAGGAAGATAGTTCTCCAGGGCATCAACCAGTAAACCCAGACCAGGTGGAGATACACAGATTAATAGAAATGGGTTAATAATTAAGAGAACTAGAAAATAAGCCTGAGCCACCTGCCAAACAGTTTATATTTAATATAAGCCTCTGTGTGTTTATTTGGGACTAAATGACTTTGGGACCTGGTGGAACAGAAACTTCCATCTTCACCAAGGATTGCTTTAAACTTCTGATCATCTTGTTTCCACCTCAATAGTACTAAAATTACAGGTGTGCACCACCACACCTGTTTATGTGGTACTGAGGATTGAGCCCAGGACCTTTTACACACTGGGAAAATATTGTACCATGTGAGGTGTATCTTCAGCTCTCTAAAATTTATGATTAGGAAACTTTATGGTCTTTCTTAAGAGTCCAACACTGAGGTAGAGACTTTTGAGTCTCTAGAACTGTTAGAGCATTAACAGGTGAGAGCTATGCTTCTTGAAAAGCACTCAGAGGAGGGTTCAGTGCACCTTAGAAGGGAGTTAATTATATGGCTTCCAATTTCCAGTTTTTAAGCTTAGAAAAGTGGGGTGGGTAGTAGGGTGGCACCTGCTTGTCACTGCACCCCTAGAAGACCAAAGCAAGGTTGCTGCATGTCCGGGGAAATTGGGCTACCAGATCAATCTTAAAAGCACACATGAGAGAAAAACACCATGCAACAGAGCTTGGGTGAAGGGGTATTTTTTATTGGGGGAAAGTGAATGGGAAAACAGGGAAGGAGAGAGGGGAAACCAGCCTCTGGGGACAGGAACGGCAGAAGAGAAAACAGAGGTGGTGGGGTTGGGGAGGGGTAGAAGGGGCACAGGCAGAGAAGCAGAGAGAGAGGGAGGAGGGAGGCACCCCAGCACCAAGTTAGGGATTTATTCTGCTCTTTACCTTGAACATCCAAAAATTGTTATTTACGTGTTTTGGTGAGAAAAATCCAAAGTACTCATGACTGGCATCATCAATTAGGTGATTTAGTCAGTTTTTTCATGTGCCTAGTAATTGATTCAGAGGATAACATGAGGCATTTACGAGCACTGACATCTTCCTATGAACAGTGTTGAGTTTTATTCTAGCAGCAGCAGTTACATTATTGAGAATCAGTCTGTTTTGGGAATTTAATATTCATTTATTTGGGTGTCTATGTGTCTGTGTGTATATGTGTGCTGATGCTCCTGGAGGCCAAAAGAGGGCGCTGGATTCCCGGGAGTTGGAATTACAGAAAGTTGTGAGCCCCTAACAGGTTCTGGGAACTGAACTCTACTCTTCTGAAAGAGAAGCAAGCAGTCTTAACTGCAGAGCATCTCTCCTCCTCCTCCTGGTGTGTGTGTGTGTGTGTGTGTGTGTGTGTGTGTGTGTGTGTGTGTGTGTGTGTGTGTGTGTGTGTGTGTGTGTGTGTGTGTGTGTGTGTGTGTGTGTGTGTGTGTGTGTGTGTGTGTGTGTCCCTTTCTGGCTAACTTGTTACGTGAAGCAGACTAGCCTCAAGCTTTTAGCAATCTTGCTGCCTCTGCTTGCCATAGCTGTTAATAGGATGGGTCAATCTGGACTTGTCCTTACTCAGAGTTTGGTTTTATCATAAGGCATGGCCCTTGGGGGCCCTACCAGGAGCCTGGACTGTTTCTCTAATCCCCTCAAGCTTTGTTTACAAGTGCGTCCTGCTGAATGTCATTGCATGGTTGTCCTGGCAGATGAGGATGTCTCCCTCCTGGATGGCCAGGAGGTTTTACTATAGCTATGTCATTTCTGGGCAAAAGGCTGTTTTGTTTTTCCAGCCTGTCCATCTTTATGCCTATGCTAGTCTCTGAACAACTGCTGCTTTATGTGAGATTTTAAAACTAGACAGGTAAACCATTTAATTTTGGTCTTTTCATGACTGCTTTTGGCCAGTTGTTGTTGTTATTATTATTTCCATGTTTAGGATCAATTTGCCAATCTTGAATGTAATAATTCTGTTAGAATTTTAATAGTATTACATTAATTTATATTTTAACCAGGGGGATACCACCATTATAATCATAACAAACCTTCCAATCTGTGAACCGATGCAGTGCCTTTCCATTCATTTTGACCTTTCTTTTTCTACTTTAATTCGTTCGGTGTATTTATTACTAAAAATTAAGATAGCAAGATTGCCTTTTATTACAAATTTCTGCAAACTAGACCTATTTCAATTATTACTTTTTAACCCAAACAACCAAATTCTATTGCTATTAACTGCAGACTTGAGGATTCTAAAGCCCACCCTTGCTTCTTTGGGTCATCCATATGCTTCCCACATTCTCTATCATTTAATGGTAACATAACAGGTGTGGAAAGAGATCACCCAGCACCAGGAAAAAACAAAACAAAACAAAACAAAACTATCACAGAACTCACTGCTGTGCAGTTTAATCTGCTGCATGGCACTATCAGCAGATAAGGGCAGTATACAATGTAGCCCTGAATTGACTGTCCTAATCTTGCCCTATTTTAGCATTCTCAGAAGGGTCCCATCCTTGATACAGGCAGAAAGTGCAGAGGCATCTGAATGGTTCACCTTCATGCACATCCATTACGACTTTTTAGCTTCTTCTCAGTCCGAATAAATCTTTTCATCCTTGCTACAGGATCTTTCTGCAGACAGCAATGTGCGGACTTGTCTCCTGGGAAAGGCACTTTGGACCTTTCTCAAGATTGTTTCACTTTTGTTCTCAACCGGTTTTGGTTTTATCCTTGTTGAGATGATGTCACGGTGACGATGGTGACGATGTACAGACTGATGAGGAGGCTTCTTGGCACTGGGGCTGATAGTCAGCTCTTTCAGGTCCCTCCATAACATTTCTGGCTGTGAGACTTCTGAATCGTCGAGTGGTCTTGTTCATCTTGTTCATTGCTTGTCTGAGGTTCTGGGTTCACAAAGGGGCCCAACACTTCTGATGGTTCCTCTATGGTGATGGGCAGAAACTTCGTATGCTAACTCCAAACAAAATTGCTAGGTCTTGGAGAAGACTGGAACCCAAACTCACTAGCAGTGGGTTAGTGAGCCAACAATGAGATCTGTTTTCTTTTTAAAGTCCAGTAAAGCAAGCCTCTAGTCTACTTTAATGCTAATAAGGCAGTGATTAAACGCAAGTGCTGTCATATTAACTACTCTGCCTGCTGTGTTAATACTAACCCAGGATAAAAACCCTAGAAATGTTGCCTGGGTGTGGGATCCACCACCTTTAATCCCGGTTCTAGGGAGGCTGAGGCTGGTGGATCTCCCTTAGTTCTAAGCCAGCCCTCTCATTTTGACCTTTTAAGATTTCTTTTAGTAGTGGTTGCATTTTGCAGTGTGCAAAATAGTACTTTTGTCCAAGTAATTTCTCTTGTTTAAAAATGTTGTGTATGGGGGGGGGTATGTGTGGAGGTAAGAGGACAACTCAGGTTGCCAGGCTTTCGCAGCAAGCACCTTAACCTGCTGAGTCGTCTTACTGACCCTGTTCTGTTTTCATTTTTGCATTTCAATCCTGAATCACATTATTAGTATTAGTTCTGCTAACTTTTTGTAGGTTTCTTGAAATTTTTTTCGTAGTAGATTGGATTGCCTACCATCACAAGTGCCATGTTGAAAATTGGAGAATAAATTTCTTGGCCTCATTCCCAGTCTTAGAGGGAAGGTCTCTGATGCCTGTAGGTTCTTCACATGCTCTTTGTCCAGTTCAGGGTTAATTTCTACTCCAAGTTTGCTGAGATCTGGTGCCATGGATTGCAATTAGATACTAACTCTTAACCTCCAAGCCATTTCTCCAGTCCTGGTATTGAAGTTTTATTATCATGTAGACAAAACTTTCAGTTTCTTTTATTTGTTCTTTTAAGATTTTAAGACGTTTCATTTATTTTAAAATTAAGTGTATGTGTGTGTGCCCACCATAGCCAGAGGTTAATTTAGATTTCTCTGGAGCTGGAGTCACAGGTGGGTGCTGGGGACAGAACTTTGGTCCTCTGTGTGAGCAGCAAGCATTAATCACCAGCACTCATTTCTTCAGTGTATGGGATAGGGATAGGGGGAGAGAAGAGGGACGGAGAGGGAGAGAGAAGCAAGGTCATAAATGATGTAGTTCAAGCAATTAGATATTTCATATAGGTGACATCTATTGTGGTTAAATAAATGTACTCCTTACATTTCTCATTTTCAGTTTCACTATGTTTTTTAATTTAAAAAGTTTTTCATTTTACATACCAACCCCAGTTCCCCCTCCATCTCCAGTTTCACTGTTTTTCTTACTTATTGTGTATGAGTGTTTTGCCTGGTGTCTACAAAGACCAGCAGGTGACACCAGATTCCCTGGACCAGGAGTACCAGATGACTGTGAGCTGCCATGTGGGTGCTGGGAACTGAACCCAGGTCCTATGAAAGAACAGCAAGAAACATTAGCTGCTAAGCCATGCCTTTAGGTCCTGGCTTTAAATTCTCTATTCTCCTGCTGTAGCCTCCTGAGTGCTGAGACAACAAGTGTGCATCATCATGTTGGATCTGCAATTCTGTTTGGCATTCTAGAATAAAATAGGGCAAGATTTCTAGTTCAAAGAATAGAATTCATTTGATACTAACTTATAAGCTACATTTTTGTGTATATTTTCAATTGTTTAAATAAGACCTCATGCAGCTTAGCTGACATGACTCTTCAACTTCTGCCTTAGCCCCCAATGCTTTCAGTTTTCACTGTATGCTTCCTAATTAATGGGCGAGCTGGAAGTAATGCGCTCCATCCTTCTGCCCTGTTTCCTTATTGAGATCTGGAAGATAATTTTGTTTTGAAGTAGTCTCACTATGTAGCCCACGCTGGTCTTCAGCTCATGGTCCTACATCAGCCTCCTAACTGCTGGGTTACAGGAGTGTATAACCGTGTCTGGCTTTTGACAGCTTTAATATTCCTCCATAGTGGATGGTTAACACTTTCATTTCAATGCTTTTAATATTAAAAAGAGGGAATTCTTATTAAGTCAACCTTTAGAAATTTAAATAAAGTTAGATTCCACAATACCATTTTTATAGAGCTAGATATAAAGGATTTGGAAAGATTTAGTCATAAATACAAAGAAATTTAATACATGACATGAAAAAATTTACATCATTATAACCCTTCCTGCTTCAAATGCAATAAATATTTAACACAAATGTAACAATGTTGAAATGGAAGACTGGAAGAAAAACAGAAAAGATAAAACTCTCTCCCTTTTCTTTTATGGATGGGCATGAAAGGAGATGGGTAACCAGTGCCTACTGCTAGGGAGCAGCTCTCAGGCCACAGTCAAATCAGCAAGTTTTTAGTTTTAAGAATTTTAGAGCAAATTTACTATCTGTTTATTATATCAAAAAAGGAACTTAGTATGTAGCCCAGGCTTGTTTCTCGATGTGTCCCCATGCAAAGCTTTACTTCAGTGGGTTGACAGCTGTAGGCACCATCTTTAAAAATTCTAACATCAACAATAGGTCATTCAATTGTTTGGTCTTTATGCAGGTTGTGACTTAAAAGTGAGAGATTAGAGAGATGACTCTGTGGTTAACAGTACTGGCTGAGTTTGGTTCCCAGCAGCCACACAGTGGTTCACAGCCGCCTGTAACTTCAGTTCCAGGAGACTGAATGCCTTTCTTCAGGCCTGCTGCATGGTGCAGGCAAAAATTTAAGAGATTAAATTGTTTTCACAAGTCCTTCCATAAGCACAAATAAAAAAGTTTTACATTACATTATGGAAAGTACTTAACTGTCAACCCTTCCACTTCTGATAGTTGGTAGTGTTAAATTTATTTATACTAACAAGTTCTGACTTTAGTGCAGATTGAGTGTTCCATATGTGAAATGCATTGGACTACAGTTGCTCAGATTCTGGAATAACTGCATACACATAGAAATATCTGGAAAAGAACCAAGTCTAAACACAAAATTCACTTATGTTGCACTATAGTCTAAGAGTGATTTTATACATTATTCTAACAGTGCTGTTCGTGAGTTTCACATTCCTACATGAGACATCATGTTGGTGTTAAAAGTTTAGAACACTTTAGATATTGGCTTTTCAGATTTAATATTTGCACTGTGCTAAGGCAAGTTAGAAACATGGTATTTCAAAATTACAAAATTTCTTTTGAACTACATTATAGTAAATAACTATTTGGATTTTAGTGTTCTTACCTACTCAAATACTAAAAAACCCAAAAAACCAGTAACAACAACAAAAAAACCTAGTCCACAGCTGCATTTTGTACATTACAATTTTATTTGAATAATATTTACAAAATAAATACAGTTTCAATCACTAAGTTCTTCTTCATCACTGAAATATGCACTTTTCTTTATCCTTGGCCGTCTAGAATCGTCTGAGGTTGAGGGGCCCCCTTGACTGGGTCTCCACTTGCTCTGTTCTTCTTCAATTTTGGCTTGCTGTAATATGATTCAGAAGCAGAACAAAGCCAGTTATTTATGGCACATTATGTTCATTCAAAGGAATTACCATGGAAAAACAGAACACAAATAATTTCCACCCTCCTAGGTCACACTGACAAATTGGTCCCCATCATGGTCTTACTCAAAATTACCTTAGGGAAGTTTTCTCCCCGCCCCCACCCACTGCTCCTGAGAGGTAAGTGTTGAATTCTTTATGGCAGAAGGATGACTCTGAACTTCTGAGCCTTCTACCTCAACTTCCATAATGTTGGGGCTGCATCCTCACCCAGGATTATGCAGTGCTGGACAAAACCCACAGCATTTGCATGCTAACAGCTAAGCTGAATCCCGGAACCCTAGCCATTTTTGTTTTCCAGTCTGTTTTGACACAGGGTTTCACTATGTAGCTTATGCTGGCCTGGAACTTGTTAGGTAGTAGCTCAGGCTAGTCTTGAACCCATGATCTTCTACCTCAACCTTCTCAGGTGAGAATTCAAGTGTGCAATATGAGGATTAGCTCCATCCTAGGCACTTTCTAAAGATTTTTGCTATGTAAGCTAAAGACATTGTTTTTTGTTTTTTGTTGTTGTTGTTGGAGACAGGGTTTCTCTGTATTGTTTTGGAGCCTGTCCTGGAACTAGCTCTGTAGAACAGGCTGGCCTTGAACTCACAGAGATCCACCTGCCTCTGACTCTCGAGAGCTGGGTTAAAGGCAAGCACTACCAATGCCTGGTGGCTAAAGACATTTTTAATCAATGTGCTGTTTTAATTTAAACAATAGTTTTACACAGCCTGTTCTTGAACCCCTAATCCTGTCTCTACTTCACATGTGCCAGTATTACATGATAACATACCCAGTTAACACACTGGTTCTCAACCTGTGAGTCCTGACTGTTTAGAGATCACATATCAGATATCCTGTCCTGCATATCGGATATTCACATTATGATTCGTAACAGTAGTAAAATTACAGTTATGGAGTAGCAATGAAATAATTTTATGGTTGGAGTCAGCACAGCATGAGGAAGTGTATTAGAGGATTGCAGCACTAGAAAGGGTGAGAACTACAGAGCTGATGCAATACTTCCAATTTTGTAATTTAGACATTAATAATATACTGAAAATACATGGGACCTTACAGTCTAGAAAGAACAAAGGAGAACGTTTCATTCAAATAAAGATGTCAGAATGATGTGTTGCCTCAAATTTACAAGGTGAAAGGGAAACACAGACATTGCCATTACAAGATGATCAACACAGTGATATAAGATATAAATTATAACCACAGTGCCTTGTGTTATTTATACATTTTTTGAAATTATTCAGTTTTGGAGATGTGGTTTCACTCTGTAGTCCAGGCTAGGCTCAAACCCATCTTCTTGTTTACCCTGCTGAGTTCATGGGCATGGATCACCATACCTACTTATATTGCCCCCCTTTCTGAGAAAGGTCTCCCCAGGCTGGTCTTAAATTTCTAGGCTCACATGGTTCTTCACCTTAGCCTCCCACGCAGACAGAATTAAAGGCTATAGTTTCGCTCAGTTAAAACAAATCAACTGGGACACTAAAACCCCACACTGTCACACCATTTCCTTTCCTTCCACTGCTCTGCCCAGCAAGTGGTCCAGCACTGAGCCATGTCCCCAGCCATCAGTCCCTGTAAAGCATCAGTACCTGGAATGCTATGGCCTGACTGAGACTGTCCAGAGCCGGGTCTTCCCCTTCTTCTTCACTCACTTCTACTTCCTCGCTAGGTCAGCAAAGAAAAAGAATTCAGATGCAGTCAGCTCACAGTAAAAAGGCAAAACAACACATCTTAGTGAGCATGCTATACATACACTTCTTCTTCTGGTTCAGGAACTTTCTTCTTCTTCTTCTTTTCTTTCTTCTTTGGAGGCTCACGTTCCCCAAGCATGTTTTTAGGACAGGCATAACTTAAATGTCCGCTTTCCTTTTGTTTCATAGTAAGAAGAAAGAGAAAAACTATGGCTGCTGTTACTGACAGAAACCTACCCTGACCCTGCGATCAAGAGGCCAGAATCCCATGAATAATACTCTCACTATGGGAACACAGGACCAAATGTGTCCCTCTCCAATAGAGGAGGTGAGTGTGTGATGCTCTAACTGCTAGCATCTGCAGGGTAACTAGGGAGCACAGAAGCATTCTCTGCTCAAAACATGTTAAATCTCAGCTTTCAGCATACAAAATAATTCTAAATTTAAAAGTGGGTCATCAACTCTTACAAGAATTTGAGATTAGCTTGATAAATGGGGATAAAATTATTTCTATTAACCTGTATGATATTGTTGAATATTCAGCATTAAAACAGGCAGAGGTTGGCGATACAGCTCAGGAGCAGAGCACCCACCTGGCAGTCACAGAGCTGGGGCACTACACTCCTTTCTTGCTTTTTTTCCCTTACATATGTGGTTCATATTATCACCCTCTTTTTCTGAGCAGGGATATTATAATGAGGTAGCATAATGAATTGTAAAACACAGGCGCTCTGAGTGCCTGTACATTAGTTAACCAAACTACATGAAATAGTATGTTAACTTGAGGAGTAGAGACTGAGCCAAGATTATAACAGGAGAAAAAAATTGTTTGACAATGCCTTAAATAACATGTCTTTTGTACTGGCACATGGCTGAATCCAAAAGGTACCAAAAGGTGTTAATGCTTATCATTAGAGAAAAGGTTACTAGTAAGATTACTTTGGGAAAGATCAGGATATGTAAATGTAAAGAGTTTGAATTTTAGGAGGAAGTTAAAGAACTGTAAAAATGTATAGAGTAGGTTTCAGTTGCTACAGTGCCTGCCCTAGCATACTTAAAACACTGGATTTGACTCCCCTGTAACAGGTAAACCAAGGATGGTGGTTCTTATCTGTAATCCCTAGATGCTGAAGTGGCAGAGGAGAGGAGCTTTAAACCATCTTCTGTATATAACAAGTGTGAGGTTAGCCTGCATTAGAGGCAATGTCTTTAAAATAAGAAGTACCTCTGGTGAGGTGGCATACAACTTTGATCCCAGCACTTGGGAGACACAGACAAGAACTTTCTGAGTTTGAGGCCAGCTTGGTCTCTCAATGAGTTTCAGGTCAGCTAAGTTTACATAATGAGACAAAGTAAACAATTCAAAGATCCAAAACAATAAATAATGAAAATGTACAAAGCATGACAATAATAAATCTGTCTAAATCTTTAAATCAAAAGGAATGTTTGATTCATACATTTAGCGTTTCTCAGATGACCTGTATTAGTTATAACAAACAGACCTAATGGAGAGAAGCTCTCTAAGGATGGCCTAGGCTAGCCAAGAGTCCCCATAGAGTTCAGGATAACCCTGCGCAGGATGTCCTTCTACCTAACCTTCCTGACTGCTGGGACTCTAGGCTTGTTTGTGCTGTTATGTTCAGCCAGCACTGTTGTTTTTACAAACACAACTTAGGACTTGACCATACTTTCAAAATAATCTCTTAACAGGATTTAAACAAAATTAACTGACTGAATTAGTATGCTTTCATGTCATATCCACTTCCTTTCTAGTTGTTTACTACATTTTCTTAGCCATGAGGGGTAAAGAGTGGCAGCTGGAAAGAGGTGGTGTTTGAATGAGAATGCCAAAAGGCTCATATATTTGAATGCTTGGTCCCCAACTGGTGGAACTGTTTGGGAAGGATTAGAAGGTATGGCCTTGTTGGAGAAGATGTGTTACTAGGTGGGCTTTGAGGGTTCCAAAGACTCGCCATTTCTTTCTGCCTCTCCATGAATACTTCTGGATTTGTTGTCTAAGCATTTCTTATTGTCATTTTTAGGAATTGACGGCTTTGAGACTTAGATTGAAATTCTCTGGCATTAAAAATTTAAGACAGGTTTGGTGCAGGACACCTTAGCTACTTAGAAGGCTGAGATGGGAGAATCACTCCAGGCCATGAATTCAATACTAGTCTTGGGAACGTCGTGCAATCCTATCCCAACAATTACAACAGAAGTTTAATCTGTTACCTTAGAGGATGGGTCATATGATAATATTGATAGTGAACTGTGGTGCTTAAACACTGGGTGGCAACAACAACATCAAAACGCATGTAATATCCAATTAACAGAAATTATTAGTTGCTTAAAATCTTTCAGGACATTAAGAAATTTACTAACTTTTTTAGAAAACAATTTTGAAGGCTTAGTAACTAGTAAAATTATTTTAATACCTATTGTAAATATTTTTATTCTCTTATCTGTTTCTTGCTTTGTGATATTGAGGACTGAATGCCAGGCAATCTTCCTGCCACTCAGCTATGGCGATAGTCCTACCTCAAGTATCATTAGGTACCATTTTTTCATTTAAACTTTCTATACCAGTATGTGTATGGACATGCCTGAGTGTGGAGTCAGAGGACAATTTTGTGTATTAGGTTATCTCTCACCTTTATGTGGCTTCCAAGGATTGAACTCAGGTCATTAGGCTTGCATGGCAAACACCTTCATCCACTGAGTCATCTTGCTGGCCCCTGAATACTACATTTCAATGATGATTACTCAGATGAGTCTATAGTCTCCAAGTAAAATCATTTTCATAACTTGGTTTTAGCCAGCTAGAAATTTTGATGAGAAGCTGGGGGTTTAGGTCAGATGGTAGAGTCCTTGGCTAGCAAGCAGAAGGCCTTGGGTTTGATCTTCAGTAATTCATAAACTAGAAGTGGTGGGACAAGCCTCAGGAGATGGAGACAGGAGGTTCTTAAATTCAATGCCATCATCTGCTACATGCTACATGTAGCCTGTGCTACATCAGACCTGTCTCAAAGAAGCCAATCTCAACAAAAACAAAACTATGGTGAGGCTGGGGAGTTGACATGGCAGGTAAGAGTGTTTCTGCTACACAGGTGTGAAGATCAGATCTAAATGCCCATACCTCACATGAAGAGAGAGAGAGAGAGAGAGAGAGAGAGAGAGAGAGAGAGAGAGAGAGAGCAGAGAGCAGAGAGCGCTAGGCATGGTTGTATATGTACCTGTAACACCAGCATTCTGTGTGTATAGATAAGAGTTCAAAGACTCTTGTTAAAAGGGAGTGATATAATAGGCAGGACATTTGCAGTCCTATGTCCCCCTCCCATCCCTGTGTACCCCCTGCCCCTTGTGGGCACCACTAAAAGACTAATATGAAGAGCACTTTAAGCCGGGAGCAATCATGGCATAAGCCTTAGAGATTGCCAACCTGTTTTTAGAATAGCCCATTGAGTTAGAAGATTGCTACCTTCAGTCCCAATCTACCTTCTCCCCCTCCCCAACTTCCTGACAAGTAGAATTGAGGGCTTACAGGAAATGCAGTCAGGTTACTTGGTAACCCCTCCTTATGCAGTTAGGGTATTTAGCAACACCCAGACCTCTTCCCCTGCTAACAACCTGCTTATCTCTACCTGCATTTCCTCTTAGCCGATATCCTGCTCACCTTCAGTGACCTATGACTAAGAGCATCCTGTGGTCCGGTTACCAGGCAATGACCTCCCCCCTTCTGAATCCCTGATTTACCTAGCTTCCCACCCTAACCACTATACAACATGCTTGAGAAAAATAAAATTTTTCAGCTTGATCAGAAAGCCTGTCTTGCTGCCAGTTTCTCGTGTGTCCTGTCCTCTACTTCAGGTCCTTTGGGGTTCAGGCCCTCGTTGCTGCCCCGCTGGCCAGGGCAACTTTATACTATAGAAGAGTCACTGATGAATTTTAGGGTTACTCACCCCACACTCATAACACTTAGATTTATCAAAGTAGTTTCTCCGTCGGATGAACTCAGCAGCTCTTCCATTGTCGATAGCAATGCTTGCCTTTATCACTCTACCAAATAACTGAATCAGAGAAAAATATAAATGCAGAGGATGTGGTTCACCAAGACCTAGTAATCAGATACTGTCTCTTCAACTCTTATAATAAATATGTGATAATTCTATGCCATAATTTTCTCTTTAAAGTCTTACAATATAATAATCCAATACAATGCTGACATCTTTTTCCAAAAGGTAGTCAGTCACTCCTGAGTTACAGATACTTATCAGACTTGATGATACCCTGCACCCCCTTAGGTTTTGGTTTAGATGAACACAGGGTCTTCCAGGTTACAACCTTGATGAAATGAATGGCTTACCTGTTTGTTATTTATTGCTCTGGTGCAGTTTAAAGCAGAGTCTTTATCCAAAAACAAAATAAATGCAACGCCTTTACTCCTCCTGGTGTCTTTGTCTTTCATTATAGTAACCCTTAAAGCACAAAGAATCAGTTAAAAATAAGACAAAAACTTGTAACTACTCAGGGAACTCAAGACTATTTTTTATAAGGTTAAATAATAAAAATTTGAAAAGAGAAATAAAAAAATCATGTTTGGTGGTAGATGCTTGTGATCCCAGCACTCAGCAGAGGGAAGCAGAAGGAACCAGAGTGCAGGGTCATCCTTGGCTGGCAAGCTTGAGGCCAGAATGATTTAAACTACCCAGCTCTTCAAAGTCATGAGGGATCAAGGAGAACAGAAATGAGAAAATGACCCTGAATACAAAAGAGCACAGCTAGAAGTAGGAGCTAGTCAGAGCTTGAAAGGGTCCAGTCGGGAGACAGGCTGACACAATTGCTCCATCATTATCAACTGCATATCAAAATGCCTGTCCTCTTCCCTTGCAAAACTCAAAACCCAAGCTGAGGCATTCTTTTGTATACAGAGAGCAAAATGATTTACTGTTTTTCTTGTGTTTTTAGATCCAAGTGTTTCTATTTCAAAGAATCTCCAGTTTAGCGGTACTTAGCCCTACCTCTGCCCCCAGGTTACAGGGATTGCTAACCACATGTCATTTACTGTAATTTAGAAGAACAATGCTTGAATCTGCCATGGTGGCACATGCTTAGAATGCAAACACTCAGGATGCTAGGGCAGGAAGACTGTGCCAAGCTGAAAGAAGACTGGTTTCAGGTATGCAGCGAGACCTTGTCTTATTTATTTGTTTATTTATTTACTTGAGACTTTTATGTGCATGGGTATTTTATTTTGCCTGCATGTTTGTCTGTGTACCATGTTATGTAGTGACTGAGTATCAAGTGCCCCTGGGAATCAAACCTGGTACTCTGGAAGAACACTCAGTGTTCCTAATGGCCAAGCTATTTCTCTGGCCTGAGACTGTAACAAGTTTTTTGTTGTTGTTGTTGTTGACTGCCAGCTCAGAAGCAACAACAAGAAAACTTATTAATTATGAAAGCTTGACCTTTAGCATAGGCTTGTCTCAACTAGATCTTGTAACTTAACCAACTTATATTAATCTACATTCTGCCACATGGCATTACCTCTCTTCCATCTTGTACCACCCTTTTCTTCTCTGTGTCTGGCTGGTAACCTTCTTCCCAGAGTTTTCTCTCTGCCTGGAAGTCCCACCTAAACCTCTTGCCTAGCTATTGGATTCTCAGCTTTTATTACGCCAGTCACAGCAATACATCCTCACACAGTATACAAATATTCAGCAACAACTTATAAAAACAATGTGTACATATACATGCCTACATTTACACAATCAAGAGAATACAAGCTACAGAGCAAGTAGAAACACCAAGGATGGTACGCATGGATAAAGGAATCATCTTTTTTTGAAAGAGGGTAAAGGTGCTCAGCAGGTAACAGTGTTTGTTATAGAAACATGAGTTTGAATTCCCAGCATTTATATAAAAGTGGGCATGGCTGCACAAGCCTATACCCTCGGTTTTGCGGGGCAGAAACTGGCATATCCTAGCAAAATGGTAAGCCTAGCAAAAACAGTTACCTTCAGGTTTAGTGAGAGGCCCTGTGTTGAGGGAGTGAGGTAGAGAGTGGTAGATCTAGGACACATGAGGTCCTCCAGTCTTCTCTATGTGCATATGCCAGGGTGTGCACACACAAACAAAAGATGGGGGTTATGTTAGTTTCACTAGATAGTTTATATTTTTATTACTAAGGTAAAACCTAGCTGCATGTGCTTTTGGTTGACTTTAAAACCACTAATTCTGGAGGTCCTTCTCATGGGAGATGTCCTTTTGTATGCAATGAACATGTTTCTCTTATTGGTTGATGAATAAAGCTGTTTTGACCAATGGCCAGGCAGGATGTAGAGGCAGGGCTACCAGACTAGAAAAATTCTGGGAAGAGGAGCACAAAGAGTGAGCCACAAAGGAGATGCCTTATAGCTGTCAAGGAGGAAAGAGAACCAGGCATTCTCTAAACTAGAACCATGTGGAGATAGATACACAGATTATTAGAAAGGTGTTAATAATTAAGAGAAAGCCAGCCAATAAGAAGCCTGAGCCATCTGCCATACAGTTTATGATTAATATAAGCCTCTGTGTGTGTGTGTGTGTTTTTTTGGGGGGGGACTTACTGGCTATAGGATGGGGTGGGACAGAAAAATTCTACCTACAGATCACAGTCAAGACAATGAATTTTCTCTCTCCCAATAGCTTCTATGCAGACAGCATCTCTACTGAATGGGTGATGGAAACTAGTTGTCCAGGTGACTTTTCAGTGACCCGAAGAACACAATTCCAGAAAATATTGACTCTTCACTTGGGCTTGCAGTTGACAGGTCATTAGAACAGGATGAAAAGGCTTGACCAAATCTGTCTCCCTAGTGTGTCTGTCTGTTTTGTACCCTTTTCCAGGTTACTGTGCCTTGGGATGGAGAGTTGGCTCAGGAGTTAAAGGCTAGGTTCAAAACCAAAACATATTTACTGTGTCTGGAAACACTAGAGTGTAAAATGGGAGAGGTGATATCAGAGTGCCCCTTTCCCTTTGTTCACCAATGTCTGTATCAATAACCAGTCTTGTTCCCTAGAGTTCAGCAAAAGCTCTTACTTCTCCATGCCTTGGTTACAGAATGTAATTTTCTTGTGTTACAGGGTCTCTAATCATTGGCTTTATCAAGAGCCAGATAATGAGCTGGGTGGTGGTGGCACACGCCTTTAATCCTAGCACTTGGGAGGCAGAGGCAGGTGGATCTCTGTGAGTTCAAGGCCAGCCTAGTCTACAGAGCTAGTTCCAGGACATCTAGGGCTGTTATACAGAGAAACCCTATCTTGAAAAACAAACAAATAAACAAGCCAGCCAGCCAAAACCCTGAGAGAGCTCAATCTGAAAATCCCCTGCTGTGCAAGCACAAGGTCCTGAGTTTAGTGAGGATCCCCAATACCCACATAAAAGCCAGGCTTCTTGGTGTGCTTCTGTCACCTCAGGGGACAGGTGGGTCCCTGCAGTTTACTGCAGAACCAATGATCTCCAGTTCTAGTGATAAAACTATCTTTAAAAGCTGGAGAGTAACCCCCAATGTCGACCCCTGGCCTCCAGAGACAGATACCCGCACTGGCTAACAATTTATAATAAAACATCTAAAATAACTAGGGAGTTGTCAACACTGACCTGTTACTAGTTATAAACTGAATTCAGCAGTTCGTAAGAATTATTTTCGGGGCTGAAGAGAAGGCTCAGCAGTTAAGAGCACTGGTTGCTCTTCCAGAGGAACCAGGTTCAATTCCCAGCACCCACATGGCAGCTCACAACAGTCTGTAACTCCAGTTCCAGAGGATCTGACACCTTCTTACCAATGTACATACAATAAAGTTATGAATTATTAAAAAAATCATTTTCAAATGGTTAAGGTACACAGGTTTTTGTTTTTGTTGTTTTTAAATAAAAAACAGGGCACAGTGGCCCTAGTAGGTCATGGGATTTAAGTGAAGGTTTCAACACAAAGTGAGCCATTTTTTTGAGACAAGGGTCTTCTTGTGTAAGTCAGGCCTTGACATCTCTATCTCCCTGCCTCAGCCTTCTAAACAACTGGAGTAACAGCAGTACGCAACAGTTGGCTCCATGACTGGCACTTCTTCTGGAATTCAGTATTTTTGGCTCCCCCTCTTACCTCTCATTGCTCTTTCTACTCAGAAACAATGAGGTGGCACCAGGCTGGGGCAGCAAAGGGAGTCTACGGTCATTTTTTTTCTCTCTGTTTCCAATTCTCAATCCCTGCTCATTTAAACAGGCCAGATTTACAGAGTTTAAAATCCTGTATCTGTCCTAATATATTCTATGGAAATTCCTTCTCTTTCTTAACTAGATTCTCCTTTACCTACTTATTATAAATAATGCCTCGCCTCATCTACTTAATGCTACCATTGTAACCTGTGTATTTTACTCATTATACTGGAACAAAAACATACACATACAAAATTTCCTAAAGGGCACACCTACATGGTTATTCATTTGGACACTCAGCCACTATTATATTCAGGCTTGGGCAATGAACACCACAGAAAGAAGATAAAAGCATATGTACTCTCAGGAAAACAAAGTTTAGTGGCACAGACACTGTAAACTAGTTACAATAGGGTACACACACAGAGATCTCTTCTCTGTTAAGAGAAAAACAAAAACAACAACAACAACAAAAAAATCACATCATGGACTTCAAAACAAAACAACCAAATCTGTAGCACTGTTTTCAGATGTAGGGTAAGTATGAGGGGCTCATTCTAGCATACACTGTGAAGCAGACACTATCCTGAAAACATGGAGGCTACCCACCCCCCACAGCTTTCTTGCACATCCAGTCCTTGTGTAGTTTCTCAAGGATGGACAGCCTTTCTATGTAACCATCTTATTTTAAGTTTCTTCTGTCATGTTCATTTACAGATTTTAGTCTAGCTATCTCAATTTGCTCTCATTCCCTATTGGATGGAGGACATCATCAAACTGGTCTACAACAGAGGGAATTAAATTTGCTCAGAGCAACAAGGATTGTAGCCCAGTAAAACAGACTCAAGTAGTCCTCAAGATGTGCTCCAAGGATCTATAAAAAATGTTGCTGTGGTTACTGGTTTAAAACCACAGATAGGTTTGAAATCACAGCACTTCTTAGTCAGGAATTATGACTGGGTTCAATGTTGGTCTCTATGTAGCTTGGGGGATAGCCCATTATACAAAGGTCAACAGAGGTTAAGAATGTTTCGAGGGTCAATTTATAAGGTAGGGAGCATGTCTACAGCCAGGTCAAAGGTTTGGCTGTAGAGATATCTGACACCATTTTAACAGTGGCTGAACACCACTATGAGCACTGAGACAATGTAATGCCAATGTACTCCACTTTCCCAGACATTTCCAACTAATCTCTACACTGCAGGAGAATGAGTTCCAAAAACCTCCAGGTTAGATATGTAGCTCATAGGTTAGGAATGCTCTTAGCCTGAGGCCCTGAAGATAGCTCTCAGCACTATTAAAACAATACTACTAAACTATTACATCTTTACAAAACATAGTTATTTAAAACTGTCAGGAAAATAACTAAATGTTATAAAAAGGTTAACAGTAGTATTTTTATTTAACAGAGTATCTTGTAATGTAAATACTTACTTCACAACTTTGCCATACTTGGAAAATATCTGAAATAAAAGATCACAGAATAATTTAAAATATTGCCAAAATTAAATACTTTGATTGTATATACTGACCAGACTGTTATATTTAGTGAAAAATTTCAGCCTTCAGGCTTTACAAGAAATATTCCTACATCTAGGAGACCGAGAAGGAGGATCACATTTTAGGGGCCACCTTGGCCAACACAACAAAACTCTGAATCAACAAACCAAAGAAACATTTCTATATGACTAGAATAATACAGTTTCATTGCTTCAGTTCCTAACCTCCCCTTAGGGAGTGGGTGGGGAGAAAAAGAAAATACCAACATGTCAAGATCTATGGCATACACACTAGGTAGCAGCTAAATTCCTGATTTACCTATGGAACTATCAACCCCACCAGAGTTCCAGCTAATCCTGTGCTGCAGAATACCATAACAGCAATGACTTGTTTGTTTGTTTTTTGAGATAGGTTTCCCGGTGTAGCTTTGGAGCCTGTCCTGCAACTAGCTCTTGCAGACCAGGTTGGTCTCAAACTCTGAGATCCTCCTATCTCTGCCTTCCAAGTGATGAGATTAAAGGCATACACCTCCACTGCCAGGCAACAGCAATGACAAACAATCAACTGTTTAAAGACAGACAAGAGCTCCAAATAAATATATTCCCAAAAACTCCCTATAATAAAAAAGAAAAAAGCATCTCCAGCCAGGAGTGTTGGTAAATGGCTTTGATCCTAGTATTCAGAAAATCAAAGCAAGAAGACCATGAGTTTGAGAGAGGCCCATGCCACAAAGCATCTATATGTGCTGTCCTCATCCCATCATTAATATAGTGGTGGGACTTTATAGCTGGCCTTTTCTTCCCTTGTACTTCTACATGCATCCTAACAAACTTAGCCATTTCTATAGTTTCAGCGAACATCCAGACATTTATAGTTTTGGCTTATTATTTAATGCTTAGAAATAACATTCTGAAGAAAAGGCTTTTAGAAGATCTTATCACATGCAGTTTAACAATGAAATGCTGAGTTCTGCGTCACTGTTAGCAACATTAGATCCTAAGGCCCAGCAACTTCCTATCTAATTGTAACTTTTTAATGGGTTCTTATCTCAGAGAGAAGCTGCCTCCATCAGTCCTGTAAAGCAAGGGGACCTGAGTTTAATTATATTACCCTTTCAAGCCTTTTACCCCAGGGCAAGCCCCCTACTGCAGGGCAAACACTCTACCAAGGACTTACACCCCACCCCCTAGTAAACTTTTAACTAAGGTTATTTCTTACCACCCAGTCTACAATTTCACCTCCAGCCTAATTTAATATGCCTCTTTACCTTTTCTCTTTTGTGAGATAGGGTCTACATTGCCCAGTCTGGCCTCCTACCTCAGCTTCTGATACACTGGTATTACAGGAATGTGTAACTATGCTAGTCAAGTTTCAGATAGTATATTGCTATAATTTCGGCTAGCTTAGATCCTCTTTCAGAATGTTAGGATCATAGGCACACATCTAACTGTTTATATTATTTTCTTTATATAGAAGCAGTAGTGGTCCACACTTTTAAACCCGAATTCTGGAGACAGCAGGGCCAATCTGAGTTCAAGGCCAGCCGGTCTACAGAGAGCAGTCCAAGACAGTCAGGGCTATACAGAAAACCCTGCCTCAAAAACAAAACAAAAAGCAGTGTAAATTCTCTATGGAAATTAAAAATTTCTAATTATTTTTCACTAAAATTTACAGGAGTTATCTATTAAGAATTTCCCTAGGGGCCAGGTGGTGGTGGCTCATGCCTTAATCCCAGCACTAGGGAGGCAGAGGCAGTGGATCTCTGTGAGTTTGAGGCCAGCCAGGTCTACTAATTGAGTTTCAGGATAGCCTCCCAAAGCTACAGAGAAACCCTGCCTGGGGGGTGGGGGGAAATTTTTCCCAGGGAGCAGTAATTTGCTTAAACTATACGTTCTTTCTTAAGGAGAGAATTTATTAGATGTACTGATAGTAAAGCTTACCCGGTATAAGTCATTGTTCGTGAGGGAGAAGGGCAAGTTGGATACATAAACCGTGCTCTTACTTGGAGCCAAGCCACCACTCATTTCTAAAACGGAAAACAAACCATCAGAAATTTTATTCCAAATAAAACCAAACACTGGCAATCACTGATTTAATTAAGGCTGAACTCCACACTCTCCATTCATTTAAAGAGATTAGAGTAGGTTCTGTGGGGGTGGGGTGTAAATTACCATAATCCCTTTCAAGCATTGGATGTAAACCTTTTAGTGCTGCACTGCGGTTGGAGAGGAGCGATTTAAAGAGCTGGAGAAGCCACAAGGCTAGTTTTTACGATTTTTATAGGGTGAAAGCAAAAAGATGCTTTCCAAGTATACTCCATAGTTTTCCCGACCACCTCCCAAAGAGATACCTGTCAATCCCACCTTTTTGTTCTTAATTTTAAATTCTCAACCTCCTGCATTTGTCTGAACTACAGGGATTACAGGTGCAGCCTCATTTTTGTTAATTTTGGGTACTTGTTTCTCTATTTTCTTCTTATTTTTCTCCCGAGTGATTTTCCGCGGGAAATTTAGTTTCACACTTTGATAAAGTACTTTAGCATTTTAAATTCTGTGCCTAACCTATTTACGAAATGGCATTATTATACTATATTAACTACGTGCTTTGAATGGACATTAACCTGTGTGTTTATAAGAATGCTCAGTAGTCAACTCAGTACTGCTTACAGCTGCAAATTACTAGGGAAAATTGTACTCGGCCTAAATTTTGAATTAAAAAGGGCAGGTGTCGGCAGGATTCCAGAGTACCTGGAATAACAAAGTATCTGCTACACGAATGATAATGGACGCATTAACCGGAAGAGAGTTTCACGCCCACCGCCTGGAGGGATTATTTAGAAACCTCAGGTATCCAACACCTGCTGGCCACTTTCCAAGTTTCTCTGGTTGAAGAAACGCGATGTGGGCTGGACGTCCCCGGATCCGGGGCCGCGGATGTCGCGGATGTCGCGGAGGTCGCGGGGGGCGCGGGGGGCGCGGGGGCCGCGGGGCCGCGGCGTCGGCGCCTACCTTCAGCGCAACGGCCGTGAGCGGAGGCTGTGAGCCTGTGGCGGCCTCACCCCCAGCTCCCGTCTGCGGGGCGAGCATCCACGACCAGAGCTCGGTGCAGGACTTCTCCGGTAACTCCGAAGCCGGGGCGAGCGCGGACCCGAGCTTGGCGCGCCCGGCGACGTCATTGCTCGCGCCGGAAGTTCCTTCGGCGAGGGCGGACGTCTGCCTTCGCGGGACTCAGCGGCAGTCGCGGAGCGTAGGTGAGCGAGTTGCTCTCCCCAGAGGCGCGAGGGGCGCATGCGGCGGGCGGGTGGCCGGGCGGGCGTTTCCTGCCGCGTTGGAGGTGTGCATTATTCTGCGCTCGTGGTGGAGCCTGGAGAGACTCAGTGGATTTGGGCGGAAAGCAAAGTCTTGAGTGTAAGACACAGGTTCGGCTTCTCGTTAGCAGTTTAAGATGCAAAAAGGACTACGCAGTAGCTTGGTAACTTCAGTGGCTTGAGGTCAGTCAGGAAGTCTGTGGTTTTTATTTTTGGACATACCCAGCTCCTTAGTAGGCACTTTCGGAGACTGAGAAAAAGTGCAAAAGTAGCCCACTTGCTGTTTAGGAGTCTCAGTGTGGCTGGGAAGACAAAGCCAACGTGGGGAGAGGTGGATTCACAGAGTGACCCATTCTTGAGTACTGGCATGGACAGATGTTGAGTTCTTGGTACCTTTCTTTCTCCTCCCTGTAAATATGGAATGGGAACTCACTGGTTATTCTTTAAGAGGTTGTTATAGGCCGCTCATTTCTACAGAGAAATCAGAAAGTAATGCGTGGTAGTTTATACTTAACTTCTACCCACCAGCACACACAGACCAGGCCTGTAACTACTCCCTGGGAACCTGCGTGTCAGCAGCCCGGAGCCCAAAGCCTGCCCTGAAGCCTGCACAATCAATCCTGACGGAAGCGGAGGGACGAAGTGCAATCCATCCAGGGCGCAGCAGAGTTTTGAGAGAGGCATTAATATTAATGCCTTGGCGTCCACCAAGGGACCACTGGGACTAATTCTCTTGGCAAACTTGTGGCCAGCCAAAACTACCATGCTTCACATCCCGGTTGTGCTTGGTTATCGCCCAAGATGTAAGCCCCTTTGGTCTTCTATGCTTCATTTCACTTCCTGCTGTTGTGTGCTCCCTCTCCCCTTGACTTGGGGTATCATCGCCTTTTCCTCAGTTCACCCCTGAGCACAGTGTCTCTGTGCTCCCTGGAATCGTTTTTTGCCAATCGTTGCTTGCCAAACTCTCACACATGTAGCCTTATTTTGAAATTGCCTTTTATTTTCTAACCTTGATTGAGGTGTAGCTTTCGCCTTTAAATTGAACTCGCTTTGTGAGACCTGTGTTTTAAGATTGGCTGTTGCTCCATCTTTCCTAATTCGATTGCTTTTCCTTAAAATCCCCCCACCCCAATGTCCTGCTAAGTTCTCATTCTTTTGGTCCTATGATTTCTCTGCCCACTTCTTTCTCATTCCATTAATATAATTCCCATTTCTACTTACCCCCACCCCCAACCCCAACAGGGACTCTCAGTGTAGCCCAGACTGGCCTGGAACTGGTGATCCTCTTCTGCCTCAGCCCTCCGGTGTTGATTACTTCCCTTCCTCAGGCTTAGTGCTCTATTTTGGAGTAGTCCCTCTATAAATTCTTAAAGTAGGTAGGGTTAAGTTGCCTCCTATTTCCCTCCTAGCACGAGTCATTTGTTTCCTAATTGTTTTTTGTCTTTACACTTAAGTTAAGCTGTGAGGGAGGATGTGTTTGTTTTGCTTATCTTTGGAATGAAGCTTTTTTGTAGTCTTAGCCGTTAAGGTAGTTGCCTAATGAATATGTAGGGAGCAGGAACTGGTGGTCTGCTTAGCTGTAAGGAATGCCCTTTGTGAGGTGTGATTTCAGTATGGTCAGGTCATCCAGTCTGCTTAACAGTTCAAATTCCTTTCATTATTTTGTGTCTTGGGAGATAGATGGTCTCAAATTCAACAGAGATCTGCCTGCTTCTGCCTCCTGAGTGCTGGGATTAAAGGTGAGCACCATCACCACCTGGCATAAATTTTGCTTTTCCTTTCTTTCTTTCCTTTTTTTTTTTTTTTTTTTTTTTTTTTGAAATCTGGAAGTTTAATTAGCTTTCTAACCAACCAAATTCCTACATTTGAGTACATACCATATTTTATTTATTTTTGAGGCAGGGTTTCTCTGTGTGGCCCTGGCTGTCCTGAAACATAGAGATCCTCTGCCTCCAGAGTGCTAGAATTATAGGCATGCACCACCACTGCCCAGCCCTATTCTTGATTAAGGAAGCCACTCATGAATATATACTAGCAATTGGTAGACTATTCATTTTTATGACAATGAAAGGAGTCTGATGAGTTATGATCTTAAGCCCCATATAGATTCGAAGACTTGGGTCACAGGCAAATGTCTGATATTTTGGTCTACTTATATAATTTGATTTATCACTTGTAATGGACAATTAAGAATCTCTTCCTAAGTACGTAATGCTTACATTGTAAGTGGGGCTTACAAAAAGTAATTTAAGAGTGTGTGTATACATTTGTTTTCTAAGACAAGGTTTCTCTATATAACAGTCCTGTCTTGGAACTTGCTCTGTAGACCAGGTTGGCCTCAAACTCAGAGATACTCCTGCCTCTGCCTCTTGAAGTGCTGAGATTAAAGTCATGCACCACCACCACCTGGCTAAATATATTGTTAACATGAAGATGCCTCATTGATGATTAGAGATTATATTACGGCAAGTACTAGTGAATGTAGCCTGCAAACACAGATTCTAGTTACTGCGAATTCTGTGGTCTAACATGGTAAAGTGTTTTGATAACAGTCATTTGAGTCATTTTTTTTCTAAGGTAGGAACATCAGGTAGGTGCATTACAGCAAAGTAGGGAAATCTCAGCTGTTGTCCTTCAATGTCATCTGACAACTCTCTTAGCCTTTTGTTTGGTGGAAGCTAGTGGTCTTCAAGTTAATACCTTTGCAAAGGTTCCTGTTAGTCCCAAGACTGATAGGTTAAACACAGAGATGGGCAAGGGATGTCGTATTGGGGGCTAAAGATAGCCCAAGGTAAATTTTAATTAGGCTTCAGGCCTGTAACTTTCCAATCTCTCTATACTCAGTGATACTCTAGTAGGTTAATCAACCTTTTTTGTAGGTTCAGTATAAGGTGTAGTTCTTTCAAAAAAGCTTCTGTCACAGTTGTGTTCTTCATTCATCACATTTGTGCACATGAAGACCACATGTTACTCATTAAATATAAGTAATATGTCATTCAGTCTAGAACCTGATGTAGATGGGGCTTAATAGGCAAGAGAGCAGTTTTCAGGACAGATAAATAACTTTGAAAGCCATCAAGGAAGGAGCTCTTGGATCATCAAACTCTGATAGCTGTTAGGGTCCCAGTCTGACTTGTTCATTTACTTCATCTGAATGTGATACATGGAGACATATAATGGGTGTAATATACCTAAAATTAAAATCAAGAACACTTCATAATATGAAGGTAGCAGGTGAGGGAAAAAATGTAACCAATTGAAATTACATTGTTGACAAACTAGATAAGCTGTGCCTCTCTGTGTTTACAATTTTTGTGCCCTGTAGATTATTTTTATTTTACACATAAAATAATAACTCTTTAAAACAAATATGTATATTACTGGGATATTATTAATGCTTAAATACATGTATTTCATAATTTTGGGTCATAATAAACATTTCTCTTCAAATACCATTTCTTTATGGTAAAGTCTTGCAAAATTCTTGTAGACTTTTTGAAGTGCAATAACTATTACTGTTATCTATAACCACTCTACTATACAATGGAATTTGAGGCCTTCTTGCCCTACTTAGCTGTAACTTTCCCATTCATTAACCTGTCTTTATCCTTTTCTTCTGCTGGTCTTCTATACTCCAGTAAGCACCATCTAGTCTCAACTAAGGTTTTGTGGTTTACATATTTTTTGAAACAGGGTTTTTCTATGTAACTCTGGCTGCTTGAGGCTGGCTACATGGGTGAAGCTTTTGGAGTCTTGGATTACAGATATGGAGTAATGGATTACTTACTACACCTGGCCTAAAAAGTGTAGTGTGACTTGTGAAACTAGTAAGATTGAAGTACTTTAAAGGTGCTAAATTGTGGTGGGACATCCATGAGTCCCAAGTCAGACAGGGCTACACAGTGAAGCTCTATGTCAAATTTCTGCCCCCTCCATTCCTAAACTATATAATTTATCTTGAAAAAAAAGTCCATGATCTTGTTATAGCCTCCTGCCTCCTCTTCTAATCTATCTTGTATGCTGAAAAATTAACCTTCTGAAATGACATCCTTCCTCCACTCATTCCCAAGGTTAAAAGCCTCTACTGAATATCTTGTCTAGACTTTATCATTCCATGATGCCATGGAACCTATTCTCTCTGCTTGCCTGCTTCTTTTGTGATAATGCTGGGAAGGATTGGGGATGGTATTCCAGGCTCAGCACTAGAATTTCAGTTTTTGAGAGCTTCAGAGGTTTTTTATGTAAAAGTGAAGGGTTATATCTCCCTCACTAGGATAGTGTGAGTGAAGAGTTTAAATGTCAGCTGGGCATTGGTGGCACACGCCTTTAAAACCCAGCCCTTGGGAGGCAGAAGCAGGAGGATCTCTGTGAGTTCAAGGCCAGCCTGGTCTATAGAGCGATATCTGAGTAGGTAGGGTTATTTATCATTGTCGTGTGGTCTCCTTTGGTCAGTTCTTCACTTTATCTTAGTCAAAAGGCTGAGAAGCCATGGTCAGTTCTTTTTCAGATACTGTCAGAATCATTCCTTATCTTAGATTCTATTGTTCAGTATTGTCTATTCATTTGAGTGCTCGTTCAGCATCCTATTGTTATTAATTTCTAAAAGTTTCATCTTAGCTTTCTTAAAAGTTGTCTTACCTAGCATTTTGTTTTTAAAGCTAGCTCTCACTTTGTAACCCTAGCTGGCCTAGAGCTCTCAGAGCTGAGATTAAAGGGGTGCTTCACTGTATCCACAGCTAGCATACTGTTGAGTGCTAAGCAACATGGAATTCTAGCTGGGATGTTGCTGGTGACCATTTTAGTTAGTGACATTTTTTTCCCAAAGATTTTTAACTTTATATATACATACATACATATTTATTTTTGAAGCAGGGTTTCTCTGTGGCTTTGGAGGCTGTCCTGGAAGTAGCTCTTGTAGACCAGGCTGTTCTCAACTCACTGAGATCCAGCTGCCTCTGCCTCTTGAGTGCTGGAATTAAAGGAATGTGCCTCTACCACCTGGCTGAGTTTTAATTATATTCTAGAAATGATTTTTGGCTTAGTTGTCTGGAATTGTAAACATTTTCTGCTAGGAGCAGTCTTTCAGTTTTTAGCTTCAGGTTAGCCCTTGAACGTCTCCTTAGTATTTCAGTATAGATGCCAGAGATATGTTTATTTCTCCCTTTTATCTGTTGATTTTAGCCTGAGATGGGTTTAAGATTTGAAAGCAAATAGATCTTTTGAAAGGCATCTTGGGCATTTAAAAGACAGGATCTGGATAGTGTTGCTTTTTAAAACTCTTGGATAATGCTAGTGTGCAGCAAGATTGAAATTCACTTGATGTGGGATTTAAAAGTTTCTCATCCATATCTTTTGTTAAAAAATAAAATGGCAGGTCTGGAGAGATGGCTCAGTGGTTAAGAGCACTCACTGACTACTCTTCCAGAGGACCCAGGTTCAATTCCCAGCACCCACATAGCAGCTCACAACTGTCTGTAATTCCATTTCTAGGAGATCTGACACCTTAACACCAACACCAATAAAATAAAGTTAAATAAAATATTTTTTAAAAAGTGAAATGTCATTGACACCATAAAAAGTGTGGCTAGACTCATAATTTAATAGTGCTCACAGGAAATTTTTTGACTAATTAAAGGTATCAACTACTCTAGTATTAAGATTTCCTAGAATGACTCCTGGGTTGTCATATGAACTATTTATCCTTGATAAAAAGTGCTTTCCTCTGCCTTAGCAGAGGAGCAATATAGGTATATATCATTGCCGTTGCAGGGGGAGGATGATTAAGAAAGAAGAGTTGAATACAATACGGGACTGTTTTATAGTACTGTAGGGTCTTTTGAGGGGCCCAGAAAAACTAGATTAGCCCTATGGGAGAATATAAGAAAGGTTCGCATTTGGGCTGCATCTTGAACATAGACTGGATTCAGAGATAATCTGAGTAGAGATTATGATGCAGTGTATGCTTGGTAACCAGAGTGGGAAGTTTAGGTACTTGTGCTTTGTTGAAGTCTTAGAAATAACTGGATGGAGTAAATGTTTAGATGTGACAGGTGTTGAGTTTTATTACTCAAGTTTCTGATTTGAGTCTTTGGGTTTCATTGATCGAAATGGGGAAGACCAGAGGTGAGATGGGTCTCTGAAAAAGTGTGAAGAACTGTTGGGGTATGTTGAGTTGAAGGCCACATTCTTTTTTTTTTTTTTTTTTTTTTTTAAATTTTCTGAGACAGGGTTTCTCTGTGGCTTTGGAGGCTGTCCTGGAACTAGCTCTTGTAGATCAGGCTGGTCTCGAACTCACAGAGATCCACTTGCCTCTGCCTCCTGAGTGCTGGGACTGAAGGCGTGCACCACCACTGCCCAGCTAAGGCCACATTCTTTAGAAGGAAGTTAGGATGGAAGAAGAAATGTCCAATCATTTATTGAAAGGGTTTTTTCTTTTCTTTCTTTCTTTTTTTTTTTTTTTTAAGACAAGGTTTTTCTGTACCTTTTAGAGGCTGTCTTGGAACTCTACAGATTAGCCTGGTCTCAAATTCACTGAGATCTGCCTGCCTCTGCCTCCCGAGTGCTGGGATCAAAGGGGTGTGCCATTACCACCCGCCTGAGAACTGGTTTTATAACACAAATAAATTCATTCTAATGATCACATTCTTTGTGTGAATTGTTGAGGAAGTTACTGAACAACATAGTGGTTCTACCTACTGTTTTTATAATAATGCTGCCTGGGTAGTGTCTTAGGGTTACTATTGCTGTATGAAACACAGTGACTAAAACAGTTTGGGGAGGGAGAGTTTATTTGGCTTACTCTTACACATCACTGTTCATCATTGAAGGAGGTCAGGACAGGAACTCACACAAGGCAGTAATCTGGAGGCAGGAGCTAGTGCAGAGGCTGTGCAGGAGTGCTATTTACTGGCTTGCCACCCATGGCTTTCTTAGCCTGCTTTCTTATAGAACTCAGGACCACCAGCTTAGAGGTGGCTCCACATACATCACCCCCCCCAACCCCCCACCCCCTCTGGTGAATCACTAATTAAGAAAATGCCATACAGGCAAGCTTACTATTTGATCTTATGGAGACATCACTGCAGTAGTAACCCCAACTAAGATATCAGTATTGTATGTAAATCATACCATACTTTTGATGATTAGTATTGTGAAGAAAGCAATGTTGCAGGATCTGGTTGAGTGACATTAAAATACTCAGGTAAAAGCTGAGGAGGTTACAGAGATGTCTGGAGAGCATGCTAAAGGACACTGCCAAATGCAAGTGCCTAGTGCTTATCTGGAATATAAGCTTAAGGAGGACTTTTCTCTCCATTAACTCTTGGCTGGCTATCAGAATAGCTAGATTAGAGTAAAAAATGAAAGGGATACACAGGGAGAGAAGAAAACACTTGAAGATGAGTGGAACTGCTAGATTATAATGCAGTTATTTTCTGTTGCCTAAGCTTCAGGACAAACAGTTTGGATAACATGAAAAAAGAATTGTATCATTTTGATTTAGGACTGAGTATATTTGGTTGGACACAAGGTAATTAACTGTGAGTCTGTTTTTTCAAATTTTTGTAACTTTCACTCACAGTGCCAGTTCTCCATGGAAATTACATAGGGCTTGGGATCACTCAGCGGAGTCCTTTAAGGAGGGGCTTATTTCCTTCTGGACTTGACCTACAGACATTATTACTTATACCCTGTATTGCTTTTTGCATAAAAGTGAGGTTCTTACATTTTGGAATCAATTTATTGGCACATTTCTAAAGGAAGTTTGCACCTTCCTGTTGTCTGCTTTTAAAAATTAAAAAACAAGACAAAACAAAAACAAAAACCCTCTGTTTATTGTATTCATATGTGTGTGCTTGGGTATGCAAAGGCCAGAGGAGTGTGTTGTTTTCTGTTACACTTCAGCTTGTTCCTTTAAGATAGGTCCCCTACTGAACCTGGAGGTCACCCAGTGATCCGTTTTCTGTCCCCTCAGTTACTGGTGCTACATGAGTGAGTGAGTCATATTGGGCTTTTGTGTGGGTGATGGGATCCAAACTCCTCATTCTTGAGTGAGAAGATCTTTCAGCCATTGAGCCATCTCTTTAGGCTGTAGAGTACTTTTGAGACTCCAGTAATGGGGGAGGATTGTTTATTGTCATGAGTCTGTGTAGTTGATTGGTTGTGGGATGGATTGATTGCCAAACCTGGATAATGTCATAAGCAACACATGCCATTAATCAAAAGATTACTGTACTTAAGAATGCTTCTAAATGACTTTGAAAATTGCAGGGTATTATTTGAATTGAAAGCAATTTTAACATATTTTCTATAGTGCTTTTATCATCATTCCTTCCCTAATGCCTATTTTTTTTTCCTCTGTTCCTTTTTGTGATTTAATTCAAGATCCAGGTTGAACAAGAGATGTAGCTGAGCACTCCCCTCCCCCCCAAAAAAAGTCAGCCTAATCCCATGATCCAGCTTGATTAGAGATCCCTTTTTCATGGTTTTTGATTCTTAGAGTAATTCTAATATCTGAGGTAGTAAATATATCTTCCAAACTGATAAGTAGAAAATTCCAAAGGAAAATCAGCATTTCCTTTCTGCAGTTTGGTAGTGTGACATTTTTTGGATTGTCTGTGCTGCCCCTCAGAGAGCCCAGTCCTTGTAGGAGAGCACTCTGCTAGCCTTTGAGTTTCATGCGAATATACCCCTTGCTCAATTCGTCTTAGTTGGGGTTACTTAGGTTGCTGTGATGAAAAGCATAACCAAAAGCAAAGTTGAGGAGGAAAGGGTTTATTTGGTGTACACTTCCACATCCCTGAAGGAACTCGGGACAGGAACTCAAACTGGGAAGGAAATAGGGGCAGGAGCTGAAGCAGAGGCAATGGAGGGGTTCTGCATACTGGCTTGCTCATTATGGCTTGCTCAGCCCTCTTTCTTACTGAACTTAGGTCACCTGCCCAGGGATGGCACCACCCACGGTGTGCTGGGTCTTCCAGCATCAATCACTAAGAAAATGCCCTATGGCTGGATCTTGTGGAGGCATTTTCTCAATTGAGGTTCACCCCCTTCAGAGTATTCTTATGCCTAATTAACATAAAACTAGCCAATATATACTTCCTTCCCTATTTGAGATAATCTCTTGCTAATGTTGACCAGATTAGTCTTGAACTTTGTGTTCAAGCAATTCTGAGTGGCCAAGACAGGCCTATACCATAGGGTGCACTTTAGGCTTTTTAATCCTCCTAAGGTAAGGCTATTTCACAGATTTAACAGATTCCATTACAGGTATCCCTCCTTTTTATCAGTTTACATTAGTGTGCTTAATTCTTTGTCAAGAGTCTCATGTACTCTAAGCTGGTCTGGAACTGGTTTTTTGTTGCTTATTTATTTTTGTTTGGTTATTTGAGACAGGATTTCTTTGTGTAACCTTAGTTCTGGAACTCACTGTCATGAGCACTTACCAGGCTTTAACCCAGGAGGAATGATGACAGACTCAGCAAGTTGGCTTTGAGTATATATTTTACTTCACACTTATATCAGAGCAGTATACACAAGCAAAAGCAAAATCCTAGGGACCATAGCCACTCACAACTGGGGTACCTGTCCGGCATAGGGCCACGACTCTCCATATCTCAAGATTCCACCAAGGTCTCTGGTATCAGATCTGGCAACTCTCAGCTTAGTGGACTGGCTTCTCAGGCAGAGTAGAGTTCCAGAACATGTCCTTCAAATAGTCATGGTGGGTTCTGCATCTCAGGTATGAGCTAGTCTCTAAATACCTTGCTTATCACATTCTGCCACACATGCATACTTTCCTTCATTCTTATCTCTAGTAGTTGGGTAAGGGGCCTACATTCACTTTCCTAATCTCCTCTCAGTCTTCTGCCTGTCTGGTTGCATGCTCCTTACACTGACCCTCTAGACCTGACTGACCTGGAACCCAGAGGTCTGCCTGCCTCTGCCTACTGAGTACTGGGATTATAGTTGTGTGCCACCACTGCCCGGCTCTTGATCAGATTTTTATGATATGTCCAGCATGTCTTTTGATGAATTAAAGATTACTGATGGTTGTGGTGGTGCACTACTATAATTCAGCATTTGGGGTGCCATGTCAGGAGGGTCAGCAGTTTTAAGGCCAGAAACTAAACCAGAGGGCTGTGAGATGGCCCATCAATAAAGGCACTTGTCATCAAGGTTGAGGCCCTGGATTTAATCACTGGTACCCCCATGATGGAGAGAATTGATTTCCTGAAAATTGTCCTCTGACATCCATACACATTCTGGGGAATGTATGTAATGCGTACTTGCCCCAGGCATGATGTGTGTATATACAAACAAATTAATACAAAATTTAAAAAATAACAGAAAACTCACACTGGAGCACTGCATGTTAGGATATACCTGTAATCCCAGTGATCTGAAAGGTTGAGACAAGGTTGCCATTTCCAGGCCAGCTTTGGCTACATAGTAAGTTTGAGGCCAGCCTTAATTGGAGTAGTCATGCTAGCCTGCTTTCTAAACTATTCATCAAATGGTATCTTTTCTAGTTTTTCAAATTGTCGGGCAATGAAGAAATTGTGTGTGGTTTATGACTCTTACCCAGCATGTTGGTGGAGGTTTCATTAAAACAGAAGGAAGGTAGGACTTCATATACATGTGCACACATTTTTTAGAAACTCATCTAGGAGGACTTGTTGCTTTCATCCCTCCTCTCCTCACTTGCTCCCTTCCAGGTGTCTTGACAGCCATCTGCTTCTTTATTGTCTCTTACTTCCTGACAAACAACCCAGAATTGTTTTTGTTTTCTCTTTAGTGGCTTCCACAAGAGATGAGATGTGGTCTGAGGGACGGTATGACTACGAACGGCTTCCGAGAGAACGAGCGCCCCCTAGGAGCCATGCCAGTGTAAGTCACTGCTCTGTGGAGGAAAGTTAACCTGTTGTATCATTTTGTCTTCTCCAGCATCTTCAGATACCAGAAGTTTACCAGCCTAGCTGGAGAAATAGATCAAATTCACTTTTTAAAAGCCAGAGAATGCATGGTAATATTTTATTTAAGTAAAAAGCAAAAGCTTTGTTTTGTACTTAAATTTCTAGAGCAAAGATTTTGTTTGTGGAGGAAAATGTTTATGAATACTGTACTGTGCACTGACAAAGAAATGTTGAACATCTGCTTCGACTTGTGGCTGCCATTTGTCTCCTTAAAATATTAATAAATTGAGACTGGCATGGTACGTCACGTGCCTTTTATCTCAGCACTTGAGAGGCAGAAACAGGTGGATTTCTGTGAATTCAAGGCAAGCCAAGTCTTCATAGCAAGTTCTAGGCCAGGCCACACAGTCTGACCCTGTCACACAACAATAACAACAAACATTAATTAATTAAAATGAAGTTATAGATTAGTATGGCATTCTACTAGAGGTCAATCTCTCTGGACTAGAAGCATGTTGCTACCCTGGTCAGTACTTCAGCTGGCATGCTTCTGTTTGGTCAGGCAGCCTGCAGGTTGAGGAGAGTACTGAGGTTCGCATCTTCTATCTGTCTCCTTGTCTCTGTTCTGAGAGTTACTGATAAGCTGTTGACTCACACCAGAACTGTATCTAGTCCTAGTCTGTAGCAGGGGCTCAACATTTATTAAGTGAGTGGCTTTGTTCTCCTCAGAGTTCTGCATGGAAAACTGAGGAAAGGTTTGGAGGTCAAGAAGCTCTTAATCTTCTGCAGACTTATCTTGAACATTGGGACATTAGGGTTATATTCTTTTTTGTTTGTTTTTGTTTTTTTAAGACAGGGTTTCTCTATGTAGCTTTGAAGTCTGTCCTGGAACTTGCTCTGTAGACCAGGCTGGCCTTAAACTCACAGAAATCCACCTGCCTCTGCTTCCTGAGTGCTGGGATCAAAGGCGTGCATTGCCACCACCACCGGGTGGGCAGTAGGGTTGTATTCATATGTAGACATTTTGTTTACCACAAAAGACAAATACTTGTTAAGTATTTTTTATTTAAAATATTAGGGCTTTCTGTGTGTGTGGTTTTTCTCATGTTAGGCAAGCACTCAAACACTGAGCCCTATCCCTCACCCTCTGTTTCATTTTTTGAGTCAAGGTCTTACTAAATTGCCTAGCTTGGGCTTGAACTCACTGTGTGTCCTATGCAGGCCTTGCCCTTGTGATCCTGATGCCTTTCAGGTAGTTTATAGGACTGCAACCAGACCCAGCTGACACTGACAGTTTATTACCTGATCATATACTTCACCTCGATGAACAGTGTCATTTGCAAGGTTGTCACTCATTGGCCTGAATTACAGCTTGGGTTGATATAAAATGATTTAAGATAGAAAAACAAATGAGGAAGCCCGTTATATTAGAATGGGCAGACTTGATAATTATCATGCCATGCTTCCCAGGTTGTTCTAGAGGCTATTTCTAGTAAGTTTTTCCTTCTTTAAATTTGACAAAATTATTTTATGATCCACCTAGGAGGATTTAAAAAATGATACACATTAAGTGTCACATAGCTATGAGATAGCTTCCAAAAAATGTTCTCTTCCCCCCTATAGTCCTTGGAAATTTTACCAGCTTGGCATTGATTGATATGCAGACTGTGTGCTTTTTCACTGAGTGACTTAATTGTGGATTGGAAAAGCAGATTGTATTGATTTCAGATTGCAAGATGAGTGATTGCCCAAGACTGACACTGAAGAATCATACTCAGAATCATTGAGGTAATTAATGTATTGTTAAATGACCTCATTAAAAAGAGAGACCTGAGAAGGGGAGTGGCTTAAAAGAAGTGGTGGTTTAGGAACAAGGAAAAGCTACTGGAGGCCTAAGGCCACCTTTTGGTGGAAGGATGAGCAATTGTTGTTTTAGAGCATGGTGCTCCCAGGATGGCAGCATTCTGGGTGAAGTTCAGTGTATTGATTGGTCACAGAATGATAGTCTAAGAATTAGAATTGAAGGGCTGAGGATATAATTCAGTTAGTGCTTGCCTTAGCATGTTTGATCCCCTGGACTGATCTCAAACACCTCAAGAAAGGGGGAAAAATTGATGGAAGTCTTTATTGAATAAGCATTTTAGAGTAAAATGTAAACAACTGTTGTTTTATCCTATGCCTTTTGTGTGTGTGTGTGTTGTGTGTGTGTGTGTGTGTGTGTAAAATAGTCATTCCCTCACTCCCCCCCACCCCTAGTAGAATTTCAGCATCAGTAAGTAGGAAGGGAGCTAAGTTTATGTGCTTATGATCAGAGTAGATGTTTTGGACGGATCTCTTCTTCCTCCTTGTCCGGCTGTGCTCATTGGGAGCCTGAAGTGTTCTTCCTTTAGAAACACACACCTGGCCAGACCTGCTCATTCCTCTTCCTTCTCTATGCTATTAGAGAAGCTGGGTCTTTTCTATTCCCAGCCCCACTTTACTGATTTGGAAACCTTTATTCCTATATTTCTCTTTTAGTACTCAGATTTTTTTTTCCCCCTGTGAACCTAACTTTTTGTGTGAGTGACTTGAACCTTTGCCTTGCTCTCAGTACATTTTGCTCTTTAGTGGGCTCTTGCAAATTGCCCCTTCGCCTTGTAGATACTTACATTTTAGTTAAATGTAACCTAAGTTCTTAATCTTTTTGCCTTTTTACTATTCTGGTAAAGTTTATAGACACTTCTCAGGGTATCCCCAACACTGATTTTGAGACACGGTTGTCTGTAAGTCAGGGTGGCCTTGAACTTTCTATGTCTCTGAGCCTGGGCTTGAGTTCCTGATGCTCTTACCTCTACCTCTTAAATGCTGGGTTTATAGACTGTATTCTATCACACCCGGAATGATGCCTGACTGAGGTTATTGAGGTTAGAATACAAGTGTTAAGGTATAAAAAAATTAATATTCTTTAAAATATGTATTTTATTATTCTTTTTGTGTGTAAGCATTAGTGTCATGTGTGTGGGGGTGGCTAGAAGAGGGTGTTGTGCCTTTGGAGCTGATTACAGGCAGGTGTAACCCTCCAGACCTGGTTTCTGGGAAGTGAATTCAGTCCTCTTGAAGAACAGTAAAAGCAGTTAACCACCTCAGTCAAATCTCACCCCCTTTTTTTTTTTAGCTTTCTGAGACAGGCTCAGGTGTGGCCCAGGCTGGGCTCCAACTTACTGTGTACTTGAGGGTGGATTTGAACTCCTGTTCGTGCTGCCTTTTCTCCAAAGTGCTGGGATTATAGGCACCTGCCACCTCCTGGCTTTTCTTTTGTTTGAGGCAGGGTGCTTTCTGGTTCAGACTGGTTTAGGACTCACTGTATAGATGAGGCTGACTCTGGACTCAGGGTAGTCCTCCTGCCTTAAGCTCTGAGGTGCTGAGCTTACAGGCATGAGCAACTACACCCAGATCAAAACCTCAATTTATAATTTGGTAATACTTGCTTCTTAGTAGGTGTGTTACCGCATTACTCTAAGGCTTACTGGAGGTAATCAGCTTATTAAGAAAGACACTTATTTTGGCTTGTGGTTTTGGAGGTTTTACTCCACGATGAGTCTGACTTTGGGTAAGACAGAATATTATGAGAGTGTGTCCTAGACCCAAACCATTCACCTTATAGGCATGGGACAGAGTTAAGACGGTGCCGCAGTACTCTTTGAGGACACATTCCCAGTGACAGGAAGACTCCTACAGACACTAGGCTTTACCCCAGACATTTAATGGGTGACATTTAAGGCCTAAGCTATATCAGTAGGTGGCTAAATATCAAGAGCCACCTTTGACTTAAACTAGTGATGGGTATAAATGTGGCTGTAACCTGATGTATTAGTCACTTTTCTGTTGCTGTGATAAAGCACAGTGGCCAAGGCAACTTTTTTTTAAAAAGGATTCCAAAGTATAGAAGTGGCAGTAATAGCAGGGAAGTTGCAGGCATAGTGGCTGGAGTATCAAGCTGAGACCTCAGTCTTTAATTGCAAGGACAGAACAGAGAGAAGACAACAAACACAAAATGGCAGTCTTTAAACTCCAAAGCCTGCCTCCAGTGGTATACCTCCAGCAAGGTCATACCTGTAAAGGCTCTCCAAACAGCACCACCAACTGGGAAATGAATATTCTTCAAATGCTTGCAACTGAGGGGCACCTCATTCGACCCTGATTTGAACAATAAAGTTAATAGATTCTGCTGTTGTGCTGCTGTGTTGTTTTTATTTAAGAAAAAGTAGTTTCTTTTCTCCCCCACCATCACAGGTTGGCCTCCATTTTTTTTTCCTTTTCCCTCAAATCCCTGGTCCCAGAGTTGAACGGTGCTTAGTCACGTGCCTTGTGAAAGCAGTTTTATATTCATGTCTGACTTAAAGGATTTCACTGAATTTGCAGAAGAGAGATGGCTCCTTGATATGAGCACTTTTTTTTGTTCTTCCAGAGGACACATCAGGCTGCTTATAACTGCCTGTAACTGTAGTTCCAGAATGTGTGATGGTCTCTGCCCTCAGTACTCAAGTGGCATATGCACATGTTCATAGAAGTAAAAAAAAAGTTCTAAAGTCTTTGCTTATGAAGCAGAGATCATCTAACATTATTTAAAAATCATATTGCATGTCTGCTTATAAAAGCACCATTTCTAAGAGCTTCAAGCTGGCAGTAGCCTGATGTCTAACAGGAGAATAGATGAACTGTTTAAATCAGTGGTTCTCAATCTATGGGTCACCATCAGATATCCTGCCCATTTGATATTTACATTATGCTTAGTAACAGTAGCAAAGTTATAGTTATAAAGTAGCAACAAAGTAATTTAATGCTTGGCATCACCACAACACAGGGGTCACGGCATTAAGGAGATTGAGAACCATTGGCAATGGGGTAAGTAGCCTGCTGCCAGGTACAGCAACGTGGATAAACTTCACAAATAGCACTGATGGCCAGAAGCTGAGCTCAAGAGTGTATCTCCTG